CTGACTAATTCCTTTCCAGGACCCACCATCATTCCTCAGGGTTCTTAGAGATTCTTCCGGATGCCTACGGACTTTTAGGATCCCCCATGATTCCTCAGGATCCCCTCGTGGGGGTACCCTTTAGGATTCTTCAGGGCACCGTCGCAGTCTTCAGGATTCCAAAGGACTCCACAGGACCGGCACGGATTCCTCAGGATCCCCTAGGCTTCTTCTGGGTTCGCATCAGGGCTCCTTAGGATTCGCCCGTATTCCCCAGGATCCTTCAGGATTCCATAGGATGCCTCCCGAGTCCCAAGGATTCCTCAGGATCCCGCAGGAACCCGTGGGACCCCAAAGGGTTCTTCAGGATTTCCCCAGTGGTGTTTCAGGATCCCGCAGGGTTCCTCAGGATTCCTCAGGATATCTTACGAATCTCCGGCGGTGAGAACGGGGGGAGCCCGTCTCGGGGTGAAACCGGGGGAAAAGCCGACTTTGGAAGACCGACTCGGGGTGAAAGCCGGGGGAGCCCGTGGCTCCAGGACTCCTTTCCCTCAGGGCCCACTTGCTCTATGCTAGCATGCTGCGCCCGCGTTTCCCTCTGAGTTCCGCGGGCCCTCGGACTCTTTGCCCTGCAGGCTCCCCCGCGCGAGGCCGAGTGCCGCAGGAGCCGTGCGAGACGCGGCTGGGAGGCACCCCGGAAAAATCCGCATCCCTCTCGACGGCGGCGGCGGCGCCGCCGCTGCCGCTGTCGTCGTCGTGAGGGTCCGTGAGGGAGTCTTGTTAGCTTTCGTCAGGAGTCGTGAGGATCCCTGAGGGTGTCTTAGCTGCACGCGGGGCCAGAGAAGGGGGTAGCGCACGGGGAGCGTTTTTTGTGGAGGGAACAGCACAGATGACGGTGCACACGGGGCCGGAGTGTACGTTTGCCCACCGCGGCGCGACACTGCCGCAGATGGCCTCTCGCAGGGCCGGAGAAGTCGTCGTCACAACGTCTCATGACGGGGCCGGAGTGTGTGCCCGTCCACCAGGGGAGTGACACCGGAGGCTCTGGCCCTGCCCGGGGCCGAAGTGTACGCCTTTCCGTTGTTGTTGTTGTTGTTGTTGTTGTTGTTGCTGTTGCTGCTGCTGCTGCTGCTGCTGCTGCTGCTGCTGTTGTTGTTGTTGTTGTTGTTGTTGTTGTTGTTGCTGTTGCTGCTGCTGCTGTTGTTGTTGTGGTTGTTGTTGTTGTTGTTGTTGTAGTTGTTGTTGTTGTTGTTGTTGGAAAAGGCGTGCGTGGGAGCCCCGGCCGCCCCCCCCCCCCCCCCAAGCAACCGAGCAACCGAGCAACCCTCTCTGGGGGTCTCCTGGGGGCGCCAAGGATTCCCTAATAGGATGTCCGAGGAAATCTAAAGGCTTCCATAGGAATTCTATAGACCTCCCATAGGAATTCTATAGACCTCCTAGGAATTCTATAGGCCCCCATCGGAATTCTATAGGCCTCCATAGGAGTTCTACAGGCCCCCATGGGAATTCTATAGGCTTCCATCGGAATTCGATGGGCCTCCAGAAGAATTCTATAGGTCCCCATAGGAATTCTATATAAGCCCCCATAGAAATTTTATCGGCCTCCACAGGAGTTTTATCGGCCTCCATAGGAATTCTATAGGCCTCCGTAGGAATTCTAACCCCCGTCGTCGTCGTCGTCGCCGTCGTCGTCGTCGTCGTCGTCGTCGTCGCCGCCGTCGTCGTCGTCGTCGTCGTCGTCGTCGTCGTCGTCGTCGGTTTCGTCGCCCCGCCACCGCGCGCCACCTGGCGTGCCCGCCTGGTGGGAGGGGCAGGGAGATAGAGGGACATTGGCGGGGCGGAGGACGAGGCCGCCAACGACGACAATGACAATGACAATGATGGTGATGATGACGACGACGATGATGATGATGAGGAGGCGGATGAGGATGCTGATGATGATGATGATGAGGATGATGATGAGGATGGTGATGATGAGGATGACGTGGATGAGGATGATGACGATTATGATGATGATGACGACGACTACGATGCTGATAGTGGTGATGATGACGACGATGATGATGATGATGGTGATGGTGATGATGAGGACGACGTGGATGAGGATGATGACGATGATGATGATGATGATGACGAGGTGGACGATGATGCTGATGATGAGTAAGACGAGGTGGACGATGAGTAAGACGAGGTGGATGATGATGATGATGATGAGTAAGATGAGGTACAGCCTGTATCGGATCTGTCCAGGATCCCATCCAGTCTGTATAGGATCTCTACAGGACCCCATACAGTCTGTATCGGATCTGTATAGGATCCTCTACAGTCTCTATCGGACCTCTACAGGATCCCATACAGTCTGTATCGGATCTGTATAGGATCCTATACAGTCTGTGTCGGATCTCTACAGGATCCCATACAGTCTGTATCGGATCTGTAGAGGATCCTATACACTCGGTATCGGATCTCTACATAATCCCATACAGTCTGTATCGGATCTCTACAATGTCCCATACAGTTTGTATCGGATCTCTACAGGATCCCATACAGTCTGTATCGGATCTCTACAGGATCCCATACATGTATCGGATATGTATAGGATCCTATACAGAGTGTATCGGATCTCTACAGGATCCTATGCAGTCTAGACCGGGTGTATCTAGGATCCTATACAGTCTGTATCGGATCTATATAGGGTCCTATACAGTCTGTGTCGGATATCTACAGGATCCTATACAGTCTTGTATCGGATCTCTACAGGATCCCATACAGTGTGTCTCGGATGTTTACAGGATCCTACACAGTCTTGTATCGGATCTCTACAGGATCCAATACAGTCTGTACCGGGTCTGTACAGGAACCTATACAATCTCTATCGGATCTATATAGGATCCTATACAGTCTGTATCGGGTCTCTACAGGTCCCATACGGTCTGTATCGGATCTGTATTGAAGCGGCGGCACGCTGGCACGCATACGTTTTTCACCCATCGGACCACGTCAAGGTCCGTAAGGGAGTCCAAGGGAGTTCCAGTTTTTTTTTGGGGGGGGGTGCTGGTTGCTGTTGCTGTTGCTGTGGGGGGGGGGGTCAGAATGCGTCCACGGGGCTCTGAGCGCAGCCTTCGCAATAAGGCGAGGGCGGGTCCAGACGGCTAGAGCTCACGGGGCTCCCACGCACGCCTTTTCCTTGTTGTTGTTGTTGAACATTATTTATTCTAAAGAATAATTATTGTTGGGCCCCCTGGTGCGCGCCCCCCCTGCGCCGCCTAGGCCGCAGCTACATTTTCATCATTTTCGTGAGGAAGCCTCAGAAAAGAGGGTGTGTACAGGATCCGGTTGTTTTGTTGTAATCCGCTTTCCCTTGCAAAAAACAATAGAAAATGACATTTCTTGTTCTAATATAATCAAATTTCAAGAATCCCTTGCAAAAAATAAGGTAAAGTGGACATTCGCGCGCGCAAGACGAAATCCTTCCAAAACCTTAGTGTTCGCAGCGATTTTAACATAAAAACATCAAAAAACCAATGGTTTTTCAACAAAAAATGTCAAAATCTCATCCCGCGCGCTCTTGCGGATTCGTAGGAAACCCAACACTTTTTAAACATTTCTGTCAAACGGGCTTTTGCGAGCAACTTTTTCGAACTTCTGCGACAACGGTTGCGCACCTGCCAGGGCCATCATCCCTGTCAAATAATACCATGCGGGACACATTCGTTTTTTCTTCGCGCGCGCACGCCGTCGTCGTCGGCCGCGGGGCCCTGAATAGTAGCCACGGTCGTCCGCATGCCACGAAGTGAAGTGTCCGAACGTCATAGGGCGGGAAGCTGGGTGTGGGTGGTGGCGAAGAGTCGTTTGGAAATTTGGTAGAGCTTGAACCGGCCCCCCCACAAAGTGGGGGTATTGCCCGCCTCCTATGAAAACCCTGGCACTGGTGAGAACGGAGTGTCCCCACGTGCTAGTAATTGTTGTTGTTGTTGTTGAACATTATTAATTCTAAAGAATAATTATTGTTGGGCCCCCTGGTGCGCGCCCCCCCTGCCGCGCCTAGGCCGCAGCCACATTTTCATCATTTTCGTGAGGAAGCCTCAGGTAAAACGAGTGTGATCCAGATCCGGTTGTTTTGTTGTAATCCGCTTTCCCTTGCAAAAAACACTATAAAATGACATTTCTTGTTCTAATATAATCAAATTTCAAGAATCCCTTGCAAAAAATAAGGTAAAGTGGACATTCGCGCGCGCAAGACGAAATCCTTCCAAAAGCTTAGTGTTCGGAGCGATTTTAACATAAAAACATCAAAAAACCAATGGTTTTTCAACAAAAAAATGTCAAAATCTCATCCCGCGCGCTCTTGCGGATTCGTAGGAAACCCAACACTTTTTAAACATTTCTGTCAAACGGGCTTTTGCGAGCAACTTTTTCGAACTTCTGCGACAACGGTTGCGCACCTGCCAGGGCCATCATCCCTGTCAAATAATACCATGCGGGACACATTCGTTTTTTCTTCGCGCGCGCACGCCGAAATCTCCAAAAACCATTGGGCTTCTTAAGAATTTTAGCACCGCGCATCATAAAATCACACGAATCGCACCGTAGGTCCTCGAAAAACACCTGCACGACTTTTCAAAATTTCTACCCGCGCCCCGAATAAGTGACCAAGTTCTGTGGGTGTGTACCCCACGCCAGTGTAGTAGCCACGGTCGTCCGCACGCCACGAAGTGAAGTGTCCCAACGTCATAGGGCGGGAAGCTGGGTTTGGGTGGTCGCGAAGAGTCGTTTGGATATTTGGTAGAGCTTGTAATGCCCCCCCACGAAGTGGGGGTATTGCCTGGTGTCGTATGAAAACCCTGGCACTGGGGAGAACACCACGCGTTCGGGTAAAATGATTGTTGTTGTTGTTGTTGTTGTTGTTGTTGTTGTTGTTGTTGTTGTTGTTGTTGTTGTTTGTTGTTGCTTTTCTTGTTGTTCTTTCTGCTTTCCGTTCCTCCTCTCTCCTGCCCTGCGCTGCGGCGACGGCCCCGAAGGGATGGGAGCCACCGCCGCCACGTGGGCCCTCGCCGCCGCCGCGTGCGTCCAGGTGGCCTCCCGCGGGGCCTGGGGGCGAGGGCTCCGCCCGACCCAGGGATGGGGACGGTGAGGGGGGGTTCCCATCCTCCTTCCGTCGCTCTTCCTCGTCCTTGTCCTTCCCATTCTCTTTCTATTTGCCCTCTCTTCGTTCTCTTCTCCTTTCTTCCTGTTTTCGCTCTCTTTCTCTTTATGTTTAGTTTCTTACTTCGGTCGCTGCCTGTTTCTGCTGTCGCTCGTCGCTCCCCAGGGGAGGAGCCCAGGGACCGACCACGACGCTGTTTCGCTTGGTTTTCGCCCTTTGTTTTGTTTTTGGTTTCGTTTGTTCCGTTTCCTTTTTTGCTTTTGCTTTACACGCCCCGTTTCGTCGTTATTCCCAACCCTCTTTGGTTGGGTATTCGTTTTGAATAGAGCACCGCGGTCGCGTCTCCCTCCTCCCGCCTTTTCCATCCTCCTTCCCTCTTTTCGCCGTCGCTGGGGGGCTGCGATCTGCGAAACTGTCGCCACTTTCGAGGGCTGCTGGTGAGTCCAGCGGAGTGAGGCACCGCGCAGACCCGAGGTAGACCTCGCCGTCCCTGGGGGGGGACTGCGATCTGCAAATCTGTCGCTACTTTCGAAGGGTGCTGGTGGGTCCAGCGGAGTGAGGCACCTCGCAGACCTGATGTAGACCTCGCCGTCCCTGGTGGGCTGCGGTCTGCGAAACTGTCGCCCCGTTGGAGGGCTGCTGGTGGGTTTGGCGGAGTGAGGCACCGCGCAGACCTGAGGTAAACCTCGCCGTCCCTGGTGGGCTGCGATCTGCGAAACTGTCGCCATTTTCGAGGGCTGCTGGTGGGTCCAGCGGAGTGAGGCACCGCGCAGACCTGAGGTAGACCTCGCCGTCCTTGGGGGGCAGCGGTCTGCGAAACTGTCGCCACTTTCGAGGGTTGCTGGTGGGTCCAGCGGAGTGAGGCACCGCGCAGACCTGAGGTGGACCTCGCCGTCCTTGGGGAGCAGCGGTCTGCGAAACTGTCGCCACTTCGAGGGCTGCTGGTGGGTTTGGCGGAGTGAGGCACCGCGCAGACCTGATGTAGACCTCGCCGTCCCTGGTGGGTTGCGATCTGCGAAACCGTCGCCATTTTCGAGGGCTGCTGGTGGGTCCAGCTGAATGAGGCACCGCGCAGACCTGAGGTAGACCTCGCCGTCCTTGGGGGGCAGCGATCTGCGAATCTGTCGACACTTTCGAGGGCTGCTGGTGGGTCCAGCGGAGTGAGGCACCGCGCAGACCCGAGGTAGACCTCGCCGTCCCTGGGGGGGGGACTGCGATCTGCAAATCTGTCACCACTTTCGAGGGCTGCTGGTGGGTCCAGCGGAGTGAGGCACTGCGCAGACCTGAGGTAGACCTCGCCGTCCCTGGTGGGCTGCGATCTGCGAAACTGTCGCCATTTTCGAGGGCTGCTGGTGGGTCTGGCGGAGTGAGGCACCGCGCAGACCTGAGGTAAACCTCGCCGTCCCTGGTGGGCTGCGATCTGCGAAACTGTCGCCACTTTCGAGGGCTGCTGGCGGGTCCAGCGGGGACTTGATGTAGACCTCGCCGTCCTTGGGGGGCTGCGATCTGCGAAACCGTCGCCACTTTCGAGGGCTGCTGGTGGGCTGGCCACTTTCGAAGGCTGCTGGTGGGTCCAGCGGAGTGAGGCACTGCGTGGACCTGAGCGGGACCTCGCCGTTCTGGGCGGCCATCTCATGTTGTTGCTGCCCCGCCGGCGTCTCAAGCCTCTCGCCCGCAGTCTCCTTTTTGACCTTGCGTCTTCCTTAGTGACTCAGGGGTTCACTTAGTTACTAATCGTTTTTCCCTTGATTGGGGACCTGCGAGCCTCCCGAATGCCGCTCGCAGAAGTATACGCGTCCATGCCACGTCGCAGCCTTCTCGTCTGATCTCCCAAGCCACTCCTGCCCCGCATTGCGCAGGGGTTGGGTACGTCGCCAGGGTAATTTTTTGTTTGACACCATTATCGTTTCAAGCGCCGTCCGACCCAGGCAATGACCGAGTGGGAGGAGTCACTATCAGAGGAGAAAAAGATACCCACACCTCTACTAATCTGTGGTTTTCCTCTATTTGAACCTTCTGGGAAGCCTTCGTCGCCACCGCTGGATTCGCCTCGAAATTCTTGTCATAACGCACCCTGGGTCCAGGGAGTAGCAGTATCGGTACCTTCTGGCGGTGGGGGCGTCCAAGAGGGGGGTGATGTGGGTGGATATCATAGCGGGGGCAATGATATCTCCCCTGGTTTCATGGCACCTCTTCTTATTTCATTACGTCCCCGCCCCCCCCCGTGGGCCGTGCACGTGCTGCTGGCCATGATTTGCGCCCCTTCCTCTTGAACGCCCCCCTCTGGGCCGATCCCGAGAGGTGAAAGGGGAGGGGAGGAGCGGGACGATGAGAGGGGGGGAGGAGTCACCAGCTCAAAATAGACGCCCAGGCCCGAGAACGCGAGGGCCAGAGCAGAACGCAGGCGCCTCGAGACTTCGGGGAGGGAGATTTTTCGGGACAGGGCTTTGCCAGGGGGGCAGCGACGGATGCAAAACACACTCCGAAATCTTTGGCCGATTTTCGAATCCTCGGTGAATCTGCGATTTTGGGATTGGGAATGCGTTTCTTCTTGGTCAATTTGGGCAGGAGGAGCGCGGAGGAGGGCAAGGATTAATGCGCTCGCGCCGTATCTGACATCATTACGAGTACTCTCCCCTCCCATCTCTTGCCACGGAGTCGAGTCCCTTCTACTCGCAGAGGCGACTGTCGAAGAGTGCATGGGTCCCAGAAGGGCAACTTCGCCTAAGAGGCGGAGATCGCGCTGGAGGAGGCAGGAGGGGGCGGCGGAGGGACGAGGAGCACTCGCGGACGGGGCAGGAGCGCGGACCGAAGACGGCGGCCAGTAAGGCGAGGCACCACGGGAAGGAGGGAGGATCGGCGGCGAGCGAGGGGGGAAGTTCGAGGTTCGAATTTCGAGGCTCGAGGTTTTCGGACGCCATCGTCGGTTCTCGGCGGTTCTCCAGCCTCGGGATGCTTACCAGCAGCTGCGCCTCGCCGAGGGCGTTCCTGGGCTGCCCTGGCCTTTGGAGGCCTCGTGTTTCTGGGGCCTCTTGCGGCCTCCTGGGGCCTCCTGGGGCCTCCTGGTGCCTCCAGGCGCTTCCTGTGGCCTCCTGTGGTTTCCTGTGGCCTCCTGGAGCATTCTGGAGCCTCCTGAGGCCTCCCGGAGCTTCCTGGGGCCTCCTGGAGCCTCTTCGGGCATCCTGTGGCCTCTTGAGCCTCTCTGTGGTCTCCTGATGCGTCCTGGGACCTGCTGTGGCATCCTGGGGGCCTCCTGGAGCCTGCTGGAGCCTCCCGTGGCATCCCGGGGAAGATCCGTGCCCACGAGTCTGGCCACCAAAACCGGCAAACCGATCCAGAAATCCTCAAACTCTGGTCCTTTTGGGGTTGAAAATCAGCGCCTCGCTCGGGAGATCCTCCAAATCTGCTCCGAAAGCGGAGGATGTTGGGCCTCAAAACAGGCACTCCGCTCGAGACATCCCCGCCATTTTGGCGCGAACGGAGGAGTGCAATACCCCTTGGGGGTGCTGAAACTCGCGCCTCGCTCGAGACATCCTCAGAATTTGCTCCGCCACCATCATCATCATCATCATCATCATCATCATCATCATCATCATCATCATCATCATCATCATCATCATCATCATCATCGTCATCGTCATCGTCATCGTCATCGTCATCCTCATCGTCATCGTCATCGTCGTCGTCGTCGTCGTCGTCGTAATCATCATCATCATCATCATCATCATCATCATCATCATCATCATCATCATCATCATCATCATCATCATCATCAGCATCATCATCATCATCAGCGCGATACATGCAATGCGATCTACGCGGTGCAGTCAGTGCAGTGCAATCTATGCGGTGCGACCGATGCGGTGCAATCTATGTCATGTGTTATAGGTGATGCAATGAATGCACGGCATAGATTGCGCTGAGTGGAATACAGGAACACTGTCTTGGATCCCTGGCGAGGGGCGGTGGCGGGAGGCACGGGTTATTTGACGCTCAATGGCTTGCCTACTTTGCACGCGCTGCTGCAAAACACCATCTTGCAGCTCACACTCGCTTTCTGGAGCGCACTCCTGAAGAGCTCCGGAACCGTTCGCCCAGGCAATGCAATATTGTTTCTGCTCTTTGTGCTTGGGGTGGCGACGCATGGCTCTGAAACACATCAGCATATAACGTTGGCGCGATCAAGTTGCCTACGTATCCCGCGCCCAACCCGCTTTTGCGAGCCAGCGCTGGGACAGATATCGTGGTTTTTCGTTCGGGCACTCAGGCGTGCATCTCTGCCTGCCGCTTGTAGTTGTGTCGGTCGCCCATGCATGTATGCTCCACAATTCGCTTATGATGGACGATAAGCAGTGCCTTGATGGCACGCTACAGCGCAGCTTCATTTGATGTGACGCATCTGCGCAAATAGGCGTCCCTCATTTCCTTGGGTGCGAACGTGTGCCCAGGATTGCTCACGGCAGAGCCTAATCGGTGCCCAGGATTGCTCACGACATGGCCTAATCGAAAGTGCCAGTTCTTAATTTGTGTCTTGATTACTTGCGCTACTTCCTGTAACGTCGCAGGCGCACGCGCGCGCATCTTTAATTGCTGTTTGTGCAGCAATGCGGTCCAATGCGGCGTGCTCTGTAGCAACGTCGTCTGTCGCTTCGTGCTGCTGCGCGCCAGAATCCATGTCTGCTTGCCCTGCAGCAGCGCGCGCCTTTGGCCAAGGCCGCGTAATCCGTGGCGACGTCGTCTGTAGCTGTCATGCTGCTGCGCAGCAGAATCATTTTTTGCGCGCTTTGTAGCAGCGGGCGCCAAACGCGTGGGGGAGCGGCCCCGAGACGTTATGTGCGATATCTAGTTCTTGAGCATTCGCGCAGGCAGAAGGCAAAGGAGCTAACGTACTCGTCGATTTGGTGTGAGCTACGTGGTGCAACCTGATTGGTGGAGGAGGGGGGTGTGAAGGACCATGGGGGCCAAGGAGAATGGGGAAGAAGAGGGCGAGGAGGAATACGAGGATGCGATTGAGAAGGAGGATGGGCCATCGTATTCACGCGTGTTGTGCAAATTATGCGGTGCAACCTATGCGGTGCGACCTATGTGGTGCAATCTATGTGGTGTGAGCTACGTGTCGCAATCTATGTGGTGCAAAACTGTGTTGTGCAAGCCATGTGGTGCCATCTAGGTTGCTACCAATGCGAAGCAATGCGAAACAGTGCAACGCAATGCAGCGCAACGCAAAGCAAACCAGCGCAAGGCAACGCAGTGCAATGCGAACCACTGCAACGCAACGCAACGCAATGCACAGCGAACCAGTGCAACGCAAGACGTTGTGCTCCAACGCGACGCAATTCGAGTCGAAGCGAAGCAACTGATGCAACCCAGTGCGAAGCAATGCGATGCAAACCAAATTCATGCAACTCAGTGCGGCTCAGTTCAAAGCAAAACAGAGCATTGTAAAGCACTGCGATGCAATGCGAATATATACAACAACGCAATGCAAATCAATGCCGTGCAATTTCGTATACCGCAAAACAAAGCCAGGCGCAGCAAACCAACGCGACACAAAGCAATGCAACTCAATGCGCTTCAAATAATGACGCGAAGCAGGGCAATGCAACGTAACCCACTGCAGGGCAATGCAACATACACGCAACACAATGCAATGTAAAGCAACGCGAAGCAGTGCCAAGACACGCAACGCAACATAATGCAGCGCAGAACAATGCGGCACGGGCATGGGCGACGCGGGTGGCGCGGGCGGCACGGGCTGCACGGGGGCGACACGGAGCGGCACGGGGGTTGCACGGGGCGGCGCGAGGGCGGCACGTGGCGGCACGGGGGCGGCACGGGGCGGCACGGGGGCGAAACACTTGCAGGCCTGGCCAGATGGTTGGACCAAGTGCGAACCCCTCAGCGTCCGTTGTTCGGGGCATATAACGCCACATAGCAGAGCCCATAACAACATAACATAATATACCAGGACATACCATACCATACCAGACCATACCAAACCGTACCATCGCACACACTACACCATAATAGTAGATGAGGGTGACGAGGAAGGGGTGAGGAAGTTGGCGCGATCGGAGCATGCACAAGCAACATTAACCCCTTTTTTGGATATGGGGAACGAGAACCCCATCATTTTGATATGGAAGCTAACACTCCATCCTTTTGATATGGGGCGTATCAGGTCATTACCATGCCATGGCTTGTCATATCATATTTTATATTGCATGCCATGTCATACATTATTATAACGTAACAAACCATACCATACCACAACACACCATCGTAGCACACCATACCATACCATACCATTTCATAGTAACACGTGCATGGCATGACATAGCATGCGGAGGGCGGTGGTGTATGTGAGGGAGTTGGCGCGGTCGGAGCCATCACTTCGATATGGGGAACCCAAACCCCATTTCTTGGATATAGGGAACAGAAACCGCATCATTTGGATATGATGAATAACATAACATACCATGATACACCATAACATACCAAATCATGGCATGCCATACCATACCATGCTTTAACCCGAGAAGGAAGAAGGGATGTGTGTGTGTGTGTGTGTGAGGGAGTCGGGCTGGTCGGAGTAATAGCAAGAACTATGTCTTTCTGATAAAGGGGGATCCCATACCAGGACAGCACATAACACATCATCATCATCATCATCATCGTCATCATCTTCTTATCATCATCAGCATCATCATGAGAAGGAGGAGGAGGAGGAAATGGAGGAGGAGGAGGAGGGAGGGAGGTGTGAAGGGTCGGCGCGTTTGGAGTAATAGTACATAATCCATCCCTTGGGTATTGGGAGTAATCATCGTCATCATCATCATCATCACCACCACCATCATCATCATCATCACCATCACCATCACCATCACCATCACCATCATCATCATCATCATCATCATCATCATCATCATCATCATCATCATCATCATCATCATCATCATCATCATCATCATCGAGTTTTGTTCGGGGCCTGTGCCCAGCGGCTCAGCAGCGGTCCCTGGCATGGGTTCCTGCCGCCAGGGCTGGCGTTGGGAGACCCGTGCACGTCGCGACGCCCGCGCTGGGGGGTCGAGGTTTCCCGAGCCCCGCGCGTTCGACCTCGAGGGGCTCGAGGGCGTCGAGGACTTCGAGGATCGTTGGATCGGAGATCTCGAGCGATCGTGGGGTCGAAGGCCTCGAGGATCGAGGACCCCCCGCCTCGGAGAGGGCCTCGCGCTCGCGCTCGGACCCCGCCCGGTCGTCCGAGCGGCGGAGGCCGCGGCGCGGCGGTCGCACTACAACGACCGACGGCAGTTGCTGTTCATTCTGAGCAGGGCTCGCTGCTTTGCGAGGTCCCCTGGCAGCGTCGTGCTAAAGAGGCGCACGTTTTTCCCCGATTCGTTGAAATTGGCGGCAGAGAGGTACGTGCGACCCGTTGGAAGACCAAATTTCGAAGTGACTCGCCAAGCGCGACGACGTGCTGCTCTTGTACCAGCAGGTCTGAGAGACCGGTTGGCTTGGCAGTTCGTTGTCTGCCACCATTGTATGTAGTGCTGTGTCCACGCGCCTCGGCGTTTGACTTTTGCGTTGCGTTGCGTTGCTCGCAGTCGGAGTCGCCGTGGGCGTTGTCCATTTGAGACGACGGCCGCCTGCCCAACAGCGGCCTTTGTCGGTTTCGGGCAACGTTATTGTTGGGCATCGTACCCACTTGTCCGTGCCCATTTTGGGCGTCCGAATGCCAAAACGTTTCGAGATCTTGTCGATGCCGATCTTGGCCCTGGTTCACGTCGGCCGTCGCCGGGTCGCGAAGATGATCAATGACAACGACGCCGACCAAGATCGACGAGGGCCAATATCAGCACGGCGCTTCCGCGTTCAGTATTGGTGATGGTCCCCGCCCCTTCCCCCCCCCACGAGCGCACCCCGAACGCGCCAACCAACGAAGTGCCACCCAGAGTTTTCGAATTGGCGCGGGCGGCGACGCCGACGAGGGCGGGCAGCAGAGCGGGCAGTTGGGCGACGCGCCGCTGCTGGCAGTGTCGGCGCGCCGCTGGGCGGGCCCTCCTTCTCCTCCCCCTTTCTCCTGTTTCTCTTCTTCCTCTTCTTCCTCCGCCTCCTCATCCGCCTCTTCCTCTTCCCCCACCTCCTCTTTCTCCTCCTCGTCTTCCTCCACGTCCTGCTCCCTCCTCCTCCTGCCCCCTCCTTCTTTCTCCCTCTTTTTCTTCCTCCTCCTTCTCCTCCTCTTTCTCTTCCTCCTCCTCCCCCCGCCTCCCTCCTCCTCCTTTTCTTCCTCCTCCTCCTCCTCTTTCTGTTTTTCCTCCGCCTCCTCCTCTTCTTCCTCCTCCTCTTCCCCGCGGACTCGCTTGTCCACCCTGGGGGAAAAAACACATTGCGAGACGACGACGTTGGCCGCCGTTGTCGCCAGCTCGCCGCCGGGCGAGGCCACCGCCAGCGAGGTCGGCATCGCCGGCACCGCGGCTGGCTCGCCGGGCGTCCTGTCGGACCTCCCCGGCCCAGGGTTCCCCGGCCCCACGGCCGAGGCGGGGCCCGCGCCGCCGCCCGCGCGTGTCTCAGCCTCCTCCTCCTCCTCCTCCTCCTCCTTCCTCCTCCTCCTCCTCCTCCTCCTCCTCCTCCTCCTCCTCCTCCTCCTCCTCCTCCTCCTCCTCCTCCCCCTCCTCCTCCTCCTCCTCCTCCTCCTCGTCCTCCTCCTCCTCCTCCTCCTTTTCCTCCTTCCAGATGCCTTCGTGGGCACCCCCTGAGAGCTCAGGGGATCTCTGACTGATGTCGCCCAGGATATGGGCAATCGGATGCCCTAGAGGCCGCAGAAGGCATACATTTACTGCCATGCCTGGCCAGGACCATCTGGGGTCCTACGATGGTGTACATAGTATGACCCTGTTGGCCTCGACGGGGAGGGCGTATCGAAGACTCTTGCGGCGAATCACCTCCGACCCCTGCTTTTTGGAAGAGCCTATGTGGCCGAATGTTGCGGCCAGAGCTCAGCCAAGCTATCGGACTACGTGTTCCCCCAGCTGTTATGGAAACCCTTGGGGGACCCGTGGGTGAGAAAGACGAAGAGGATGAGATGGAGGAACATGAGGAGTAGGAGGAGGAGGCGGAGGAGGAGGATGAGGATGATGATGATGAGGAGGAGGAGGAGGATGAGGCCTCTTGGGAGCCTCTTGGGGCACTCTTGGGGCCTCCCGGGAGCTTCCCGGGGGGCCTCTTGGAGGCCTTGAGTCTTCTTTGAGCCTTGTGGGGGCCATCGGATGCTCCTTGGAAGGCTCTTTGGCCGTTCGAGGGCGTTCCTGGCCCGTTTGACGCCGTCGCAAGCCGCCTTGCAGGCCTCTCTAGGCTGACTTGGGGCCCTCTTGGGGCACTTCAGGGCCGTCTTGGAAGCCCAAGAGGGCGTCTTGGGGGTCGTTACAGGGCCATCTCGGATGCCTCTTGGACGCTCTTGAGGCCAACTAGGTGGCCTCAAAGGCCGCCTTGGGCAGTCGGAAAGCCGAAAATAGGCTAACGTCAACATTCTTCAAACACCTGAGGGCAATCAAAGTTTTTGGCCTCTTGGGGCCGTCCTGGAAATCCTCTCAGAGGCCTCTTCGGCCGTCTTGTAGACCTCTTGGACCGTCTTGGGCGATCTTGTGGCCGTCTCGGGCCGTCTTGAAGAAGATCTCGGTCCGCCTTGGAGACGTCGTGGGGCCATCTTGGACTCTCTCGGGGCCATCGTAGCCGTCATGGAGACCATCTTGGCTGCATTGGAGGCCATCTTGGGGCCGTCTGGAGTAGGACGACCGATGATCTGGGAAATTTACTGTTCCTTCTGGGGCGGACAACCAACGGGAAACCTCTTTTACGCAGTGCTGGTGCATTAGGCCAAAGGCCCCTGGGAACCCTTTAAAAGGACTATCAACTACCTCACGTTTCGCACGCCGTGCACTCCTGTGGCAAGCCAACAGGGGCGCAGCGGATGACGGAAGGCGCGCAGAGCGTGTGATCACTCAGCCGGAAAACATTACACTACAGGGAGCTTGAGGAGGTTGGCATGTGAGGCCCCAGGGGAGGTAGTAAGCAAAGTGGTGATTTCGCTTGGGACATCCTCAATCGGCTCAAGACGGCCCAACATAGCCCAAACAGATGGCTTCAACACGCCCTACTTTCGCCCAACAGCTGTAGATGTTGCTAGGGATTTCCCCACATGCGTGAGATGTTGTCGACATCGTTCTTGCCTAACATGGAATTCTGCTAAGGACATCCTCACAACAATAGCATGTCGTTGTCGTCAGCTTGGTCTTGGTCTTGCCCTGAATGACGATTTCGGTAAGGACACCCTCACATAAATGAGATGTTGTCGACGTCGCGCTTGCCCAACATGACAATTACGCTAGGGACAACCTCACACAAATGAGATACTGTCGACGTCGTCGTGGTCCCGGTCTTGCCCACATTGCGATTTCGCTGTCTTGGTAACGCTCGCCGCTACCGCTGACGCCGAACGCAGAACCAGGAAAACGCGACATTCGGATAGCGGGCGGTCCAAACGGTCCAAGAGCGCCCTCGAGACTACCGAAAATGGCGGTGTCGCCAGGGACATCCTGAAACAAATGGTCAATCTCCAACATCGAATGTTTAACATACTGCTTGTATCATCGCTTTGAAATCTATCATGCAGGGCCTCAAGGCAGCTCGAGATGGCCCGAAGACAGCCCAAGAGTCTCCCAAAACGGTCCAAGAGGGACCCCATATTCCCCAAGGATGCGACAAGGGCGAGGGGACGAGCAGACGTACGAGGAGGAAAAACGGACAAGCCAGCGATCTCGCGCCAGCAGAAAGTAAGCAGTGTTTTCGTTCCCGTGCCACGCATGTCTAGCCAAAATGGCAACTGCTGATGCTTCGCGTATCCCCACCAGCCCACTCGCCCACTCGCGGCAAGTACACGAAGTACAACATGGCCACGGTGGTCGCCTACCCGGTCCATCACCTCTGAACTGCGGAGTGTGCGTTTCTCATTCTCGCTCCGTTCGTCTTTCTTCTTCCGCTTTCTTCGTGCCGCTCTCTCCCGCCCTGCTTCGTTTTCGCCGCCCCGCGCAGCCGCTGTGTTGTGCAGTGGCCTTGCTCGTAGCTCGACCTTTTCTGACGCCGCGCGGGTGCCCGCTCGCGGTCGCGACCGAAAAAGTACCCCCACCAGCCTGTAGCTGTTTTCACCCTGGCCTTCTCCCGCGCCCGGCCACAGCCTGGCCTGGTATCCCGGGTGATCTGCCCCCCCCTTCGTGACGTCACTCGACTCACGCATGCCGCGCCGCTAGCACTTGGCGTAGGGAATTCTCAGCCTTCAGCTGCTCGCCGCGCCGCCCCTTTTGGCGCCGTCTGGCCCCCCCTGGCCGCCGCCGCCCTGCCGCCGACCACAGCCTGGTTGCAGCTCCCGGGCTTGCGCTTTCAGTCCTTGGCGTCTGTTGGTGTCCGTGCTGGCTCCTTTGAGCCTGGTGTGGTAACCCTGGCGTCCCGGAGACTTCCACGTCGACCAGCTCCAGCTAGCATGCTCGCGTGTTCCTGGCCCCTGGTCCCCAGACACTGCCACAGCCTGGCCGTGTTTGCAGCTGCCGGCTTGTGCACCCCCCACGTGGATTGCTCATGAGTGGTTCAGCCTTCTCTCTTAACCACCTGAGGTTGCCACTGTTGGCATGCGACGCATGTACGCTGGGCTGCTTGCACAACCCCACGCTATGCCGTGATTCTATAGGCTTACGCCACATCCGCCGACCCCTTGAATGAGTCGGGCTCATTATGCCTGGGATTCTGTCGCCGCGAATCAACATGACTGTTGCGTCCTGGCAACCTCTGGGGCTTCACCACCGCGAATCAACGTGATTGCTGTGTGCTGATAGTCCGGAGTCGCACCAGAACACCATTTCTGGGACTGCAGCCGTTAGAATCTTTGGAATTGCTAAACAATTGTATGACGACTGTGCGCGGCGCTATGGCGAGAGCCACATTTTGAAGACCACCCGCCCTCCATCTTTGAAACCGTTGCGAGCTTTGAAGACGAATGTGAGCGGCGCACGGCAGCGGTTGCATATTTCAACTTCAGGGTCGTAAATCGTGAGGAGGTCTCCTGCGAAACGCCTGGCCCGCCCTACCGACTCGTCGTGAGGTGCAACAGGCAGGATGTAGTTAGAAGGAAAGATATGGATGAGGAGGAGCAGGAAAAAACAGAGGAAAAGGAAGAGGAACAACAGCAAAAGGGAACATGTTGACCTGGTCTCGCAGCCCTCCAGATCCGTGCAGGACACGTCTGCCCCTCCCCCGAAAGCATGTTGTCACCTGGACGGTGAAATCTGCCATGGCTTCCGGTGCACCTCGGCATGGTTATCTCGGAGACGCAGAGAAAACACCGCGGAGATTGTGCGAGTGAAAAAAGCCAGTAATGCGAGTGAACGCAGGGGAAGCGAACCGCAAGAGGAAAGCGAAGGCGGAAACGATCCTGCTGACGTGCGCGGCTCGCGGAGATTCATCCGCAGACGCGAAACACTTAAAGAAAACACGAGCCGAAAAACACCGAAAGACTGAACAGAAGCGTGTGGTATGCGCGGATTGCGCGCGCCTGGGTTTCACGGCGCGCAGTTGATAGGCGTATCAGTGCCGCGGCCCGTGGCAGAAGAAATTGCCGAAGTCGGCGTTCTCCGTGGTCAGTAGCCACGTCGTTCGCGACGAAAAAATGGGCACCCTGAAGTGCAAGGCGTGCAAATGATGCATATGCGGATGGCCAGTTGTGGAATCGAATCAACAGTGGCGCTACACGCGGTGAGCTCGGTGGAGAGAGGACGAAACCAAGGAAATGGAGAAAACTGAGAAGGAGGGGGTGGATGTGGCGGAGGAGGAGGAGGAGGAGGAGGAGGAGGAGGAGGAGGAGGAGGAGGAGGAGGAGGAGGAGGAGGAGGAGGAGGAGAGGAGGAGGAGGAGGAGGAGGAGGAGGAGGAGGAGGAGGAGGAGGAGGAGGAGGAGGCGGGGAGAGCCAGGAAAAGGGTCAGGCGCAGGAGGAGGTGGAGGAAAAGGCAGAGGAACATAAGTAAAAGGGAACATTTTGACCTGGTCTCGCAACTGTCCAGATCCGCGCAGGACAATTCTGCTTTTCCCCCGAAAGCATGTTGTCACCCGGACGGTGAAATCTGCCATGGTTTCCGGTCCATCCCGGCATGGTTTTCGGATGGCGGGTGGGGCAGGTATCGGTCAAAACACCACAGGAGTGGTTATCGAAAACGCCTACGGCTAATCGCCGCCTCCCCCTGCCTTTTTGGAAGCGCCTATGTGGCCGAACGCTGAGGCCAGACCTGCCAAGCTATCGGACCATATGTTCCCCGAATCGGTTTGGAAAGCCTTCAGGGAACACGTGGGCATCTTGAAGGTCATCTTGGCCGCCTGGAGCCATTTTGACCCTTTCGGGTCTTCTTGGAGGACGTCTTGGAGGGCTCTTGGGCCGTCTTGGGGGCCATCTTGAGCGTCTGAGGCCTCTTGGGGCCGTCTTGGGGGCACTTGGGCCGTG